AATTCGGAGGCTTAAGTGTTTGTTTGATAACATTAAGATCGGGTGATTCAATTGATCAATTTGTTAAAATATAATTGATGAACTCGTAATTGAAACGACTGAATCCGATGAATTCTGAAGAATTATAGAGAGTAGTATTTAAGATATACGGAGTATCATCATATTAATAAAATAAAGAAAAAATAGAGAAAGTAGTTAAATTGAATATTTTGTTTATAACATGATTCAATACGTGAAATATAAAATTTCGAGTTTGACACAAAAGTAAATTAATAGATCGATAAGCTAAGCCTAAATTGAGAAAAGTGAGTTAAAGATGATGCATGCATAGTAATTGCAAAGCTTTTTCTTTTGCGTTTTTTAAACTTATGAACATTTCCTTGCTGATATCATCAGGTTGGTGGTAATTAGGGAGTAATAAATTATTGCCTAGTATATCACTTCAACTAGGGTTTTCCTTTTCTGGCGTGACAATCATGAACAGATGAGCGAACTGTCATTCATGGCAAGCAGAAAATTAATTAAAGTGTGTATTGTATTAGGCTTTTGATAAGAACGTAACAAGGATAAAAGTTAATTGCAGCTAACAGTTTAAAATGAGCTATGGAGTACTGTAATGATGAACTTCATTTAAAGCATTGTCCTTCACAGTTTCATGTATAGTACTTTATGGACTTGCTCATCAGTGAAAGGATTCAGTTTGACTTTGCTATTCCTGTGCTTTCCAAACCAGCTAGCCTGCAATTAGCACCCATGCCACTAATTGTTTGTTCTTTTCACAATTTATGGCATGCGGTGATCCATATATGTTCCTTTATACTTTAATGCTCATTTTAGTCTTTACATCACAACTACATAAATTTGAGAAATGGGAATCTTATTTTGTGTATCTCATTCGACACACTATTTGTCTACGCAGATAGAGTTGTCTAAAATTGGGAACTACAAAATTGTCAATATACGGACAATTCTATCTGCATAGACAGACAATGTGTGCAAATTGGGTACACAAAATGGGATAGACCTGACATTTTTTAGTAAACTTTCATATTTAGATTGTTCCAAAAACATAAACACATTTTAAATTGAAGAATTTTACTTTTTTTTTTTTTACTTTTTCATTATATCCCTTTATATGAGGAATGATCATGTCCACATATGGGGTGCAGGACCCCCCGCCCGGCTGCCATCATTTGGGGCGATTTTCGGTGAAGTTTTTTGATGAAATATTTTGAGCATCTTTTTCATCAAGTCTAGTTTGTTCACATAAAAAAAATATTAGCTAAAAATTCGACCAGTAAAACAACCAAATAATTTTTTCAAGATAACTGTGCCAAAATATAAATTTAAATGCAGTTATTTTCAAAAATTTATTTGACTTTCTTCCTTATTGAATTTTTAGTTGAAATTGTTTTTGAATAAATTAGACTTGATGAGAAACATGTCAAAAAATTATCAAAAAAAATCACTGGAAAGCGCCTCATACGGCGACAGACGTACAACGCCTCATGTCCATCCGGATGGAAATGATCTCCCCCCATATATCACTTCATTCTTTACTTTTCGTGACTCGTCTTTCTTTTTTTTCTTTTTGGAGGTTATAATTGTAAAATAAACATTTTATCTTTTACTTTGTAATATTGTTTTTTCTTAAAACTTGTCACAAACTCGCATACGGTTAAGATTTTGAATTTAATCCTAAAAGGTCAATTGATGAAAGATGTAACTCAAAGTCTTATACGTAGTATTTTACTGTTTATGGTTTTATTGCTTTCTTATGTTAGACAAATAGTTATCTTACATTAACGGATGTAAAAATATACTCCCTCCGTCCCATTAAATTTTGTCACTTTTCTATTAAAGCAACTAATTTGGGATTCTGCACATTTCTTTTTCCTCTGCACAAATTTCAATCACACAATTTTCACTGTTCTTGTTTCTCACCTACTTTGCACTTGGCAAAGTCCACCGGGACGAAGGTAGTAGAAAGTACGGACTATTTGATAATCTTCTCTCTGCAAAAGAGTTTATACTACAACCGTGTATGTGAGCATATTACATATACCAGTAATTTTTATTGTGTAGATCAGATGTTGATTCTTTCTTCACATGGGCGGATCTACGTGTTAACTAGGGTAAGCACAGGCTTCACTTCAATAATTTCCATCAGCCTATTTGGTAATATCATTAGTGTGAAAATGCTTCTTATGCCTCACGTCCGGTGGTCGAAGCCCCTGAAGGCTTCACGTCTTTTAAAATTTTTGAAGTGCATTCCCTACCCTTCAATGCGACACCGTTTTTAAAAGTTTTTTAAAAATGTATCCCCACATCATCTTTTTTAAAGATGTATGTGTGTCATTAATTAAAGAGCTTACTCCATACAAAGTTACAGATAGACTCATTGTTATTATTACGAGTATTACTTATTACTTCGTATTATTGTTACTATGGTTATTATTTTAACATGTAGTTGTAAATTGTACTTCGTATTATTTAACACTTCAATTTGTTAAATGTGTAAAACATCGAGTGTAGTTCACTATTTGTTCCCTCTTAAAATGATTTGTAAAGTCAGTATTTCTTGATCACTATAGTTTTTATTTTATTTAGGGAAAACTATCAAATAAGTCCCCCTACTACTTGCCAAAAGTCAATTGAACACCCCAACTAAAATATCACTCAATCGAACCCACGAACAGCTAAAAACGAAGCAAATTCCCCCTTTAACCGGTAAAGGAACGGAACAACCGGTTTTAGTGTACACGTGTCAATTCAAGTGGTTGTTTTCAATTTTTCCCTATTTTTTTTTCTTTTCTTTGCTTTTCTCTTCTCCTCCACCTTTCTTTTTCAGCTCCCCGTTGAAGCAACCTTCACGTATGCACAGTCTTCAGATCTTCACCCCAACATTCCGCTGCGCGAAGTCCGAGGGAACCTAGGTCGCTGGAGATGCCTCCTCTCTGGCCGCTCGTCCCCTTTCCGCGATTCGATGGCTTGGAAGTCGGGGAACGTACTTAGGTACTCCGTTGAAGCTTCAATTCGGCCGGTGCTCCGTGAGACCTCCAGGCCACTTCCGGATCGAGCTTCAATTCGGCCGGAGATCCAAGCGGCGGCCGAGAATGGAGGTGAAGTGAGACTGGGGAAATGCTAGCAGAGAACTTGGGGGAAGAAGAAAAGTGGGAAAGGAATCAAGGATTAAAGAAACCAAGAAAAAAAAGGAGAAGAAGTTGCAGGGATTGGAGTCGCAGGGAAGAAGAAGAAGGGGAGTGGGAAAGAAAAGTTGAAAGAGAGAAAAAAAAAAGGAAAAAGAAATGAAAAATTGCCACGTACACACCACACATCAATTTGACTGGGAACCGGAATGATACGTATTAACAAGAGGTTTTGACTCTTTTTTAACTGTTTGAGGGTTTGATTGGGGGTTCTTTTAGTTGAGGGGCTCAATTGACTTTTTAAAAGTAGTAGGGGGGCTTATTTGATAGTTTTCCCTTTTATTTACTTATTCAACAAATCAATTATCTATTATACTGAGTATTTCAATTTAAATTTTGTGAATTTATAGAACTTTCAATGTATTTTCCAAATATGTAAATCTTAGTTATAAAATTACATAATTATCCACATGGATTACTTAACTTTATCACCGACCCGTCTTAAAATCACAAATTGCAATTCAATTCAGGACGGTGGAAGTATATACATATATTTATATTCTATCTAATCTTTGTTATTGTAATAATAATCTCATATAATATGTTACTTGATATTCTATAGAGAAAATGCCCTAAATAGGAGTAAAAACGCTTGTGTTTCTAAAATAAGATTATTATGTTTTTTAATCATTAAATATGAGTAATTAATCCCATGTTTTGGCAGTACTAGACTTTAAACATGGTAGTATTTTTCAAAATTTGCAGGAATTCTTCAATTTAGAGATAAAAACGTAACAACCATGTTTTATAATTTGTTGAAGTTTTTAGTCCTATTTCAAGAATTTTTCCTATTCTATATGTGCATACACTGACTTCCGATGCCTAGGTCCGCCACGGTTTCTTCATACATTAATACTTCAAATATTACCATTAAAGAGTTTTCTTGCACTTCATCAACCATCCTAAATTCCTAACTAGCTTCAACTTTATTGATATCTTATTACTACGTAAAATTGCTTCAAAAAAAAAAAAATACTACGTAAATTACTCCGTAATAAAATGATGTCATATAAAAAGTAAATTTTAGTCATTTCAATATTCAGCAATGTACAGTTCCTCTCTGGCCTTCTCTTTGTCGTTGACTCCCTGCAGTTGCACATGCACCCATCTTCATTCTTTCTGTCGATTACTCCGTATAATTTCTACATACACCATTTTATACATTTAATTTCTTACCCTGATAATTTCTACATACACCACTTTATACATTTCTTACCCTGATTATTTAGATTGCAGGAGAGTTTCACTTTATTCTCAAATCTCAATCAGATTTTTCACATGCTATAGAATGCGGCCAATATAGAATTTTTCAAAACATCAGGTTATGTGTTCCAAAGGTTTTGATTCGAGACTTATATTTCCTCTCTTCTTTTTTAGTTGCAAGGGTCAACATTTCACATTTGCCAACGCACGTTTTTGATCGTAATTATATCTTAATCTCCATTAGTAAAAAATTTAAAAATCGGATTTTTAAACTGTGTAATGAGATGAATTGAACAATATCTTTTTTTAAAAATAATCTTCATAAAATAATAGCGTGAAATTTAGTCAAAGTAGAGCTTGTGAATAGTGTAAAATTCAACATGTTGCGATTAAAAAGAAACGAAAGATAGCATATGATACGGGATCGGAGTATATGATATTATTATAATTTGCTTTTGGGATTTTGATATATTATGTATTATTAGGAAATAAGTTCTTTATCGTTGCTAATATAGAAGGTTAGTTCTTTTTTATGTAATAAAAAAATCAGGTATAGTAGTGCCCAATCTTGATGTCCATTCCTGACTGTTGTTGGTAAACACTCCTAAGCTTGATCATTAATTTTTGTTTGCTGAAATAGTAGGTAGAAACCAGTGACCAAAACAAGCGCCTTTAATGGTTACCGCAGAACTCTCCTCCCCCACACCTAATGCAAGAGTCTTACAATAATTAAAATAACCAACAGAAGAATAAACAGTCTGATCTTGAAAAATAAATCGTAAGTAAAATTGAAAAGATGCTTTCAAACTCTAAACTCTTCTGCACTCCATGGCGACGGTTCAAGAGGAGGACGCTCCAGCAATACTATAGCTTCTACCTCACATTGTCTCTTATTCATCATTTTCTCTACCAAGTCTCCTCTGTCGCCACATAACAGATGACCTCGAATCTAGTTCTGTTCCAGCCTCTAACCCCACGCTTCATCCATGACCTGTGGCCGCCAAAGGCCAAGCATCCATCTTCCGTCCCTTTCGACGTTGCTGGGCTCTGCCAAAGCCTTTCGCTACCATCGTTAACGAGAAGCACCGATGTTCACTTTCAAGTCCTTCACGGTTGCCGACGTCTTCAGCTGAGACCCGCACCACACCACATCCTCGCCTCACGCCATACTTCGGCCTAAAAAAAAACGGGAAAATCGATAGCTACTCCAAGGGGCCGAGCAGCAACCCTAGAGAGAAGATTAGTATGCTCAAGATAAAGATCTATTCAACTAAATGTTAAACATGTTGATATGGAAACGGTATGAAAGTATTTCACTCGAAAATCTAATGATCCAAAAAATTCAATGAGCTAAAAGGAAAAGAAAAAAAAAGGAGAAAATTAGAAAAATTAAAACATCAAAAGTCTTGATTTAATCAATTTTAGTAAAATAAGCCGATTCCACCAAATCAAAAGTCGAAATTAAACAACCCCGGAGTTCGTTTGATAATAATAAAATTGGTGGAATCGGCCAAGATTTGCATCCGCCAAACGAACCAACTTAACCATCTTCAGGTGCAATAAGTCACACCCTAAATCACCTCTTGCAGGTGGGTCCCAACTATCATCCACCTGCAGAAACAACAAATCTAAGCCGATCATGAAATTCAAACAACAACTAATCAAATCTTGGATTGATCTTGGTAAATATCGTAGTTGAATGATATCTCTTTAACTTGTATTGAAGCTTTGACTCTAAAAAATCCCTATACAGGCACATCCACTACCCACTTATATTTTTCCAAAGACACCGCTTAGAAGGTAGACCCCCCCCCCCCCAATATGTTACTCGCTCAATGGCTAGCACTTGTTAGAACACTGAACTTATTTAAGGTTACCTCTCACTGCTTACTTTCAATACAAGATCCTCTTGTACTCCCTAGACCCTAGTTTGGTTGGAGGATTGTGGTGGAGAGGAATGAGAATAAAGTTAACCACTACCACACTAGTGTTTGTTTCGTTTGGGGGAATCTTTTTTTAGAGGGGGTATAGGAGTGGTGTGTGATTGGGGGGTTGGAGGTGTCAGAGGGGCAAGGAGGATGAAATTGAAGGAGGTTTAGAATCCTTCAAACTCCAGTCTCACCCCATAAATTTGCAGGATATTTTTCTATTTCTTCCTCCATAGCAAATTGAATTACAATTTGTGAATTTTATGGTTGACTGACGACAAAAATGAACCATATTTGCGGATAGTTAAATCAATTTTAATAATTAAAATTTACCTGTGTGGAAGCTGCATTAAAAGTTCTATAAAGTCGCAAAATCCAAATTGCATATAATAAAAAATTAATATGCTAAATAAGTCGATAAAGTGAACCTCTACTCACCAAGAAAAATGACTTTGCAAATCATTTTACGACGGAGGGGGTTTCTTTCAAACTTTATTTTCAAATATAATATATATATATATATATATATATAGGGGAGGGTTCTAGTGAGAACCCCTCTTAAAATGAGAACCCGTGAGAACCCCTGACAACCGGTGGTATTTTTGGCTGAAATTTTTTGTGTATGTTCCTCATCAAGTAAAGTTCATCCATACCAAATTTGAGCAAAAAATTCAATCGGGAAGATCGTCAAATGATTTTTGAAAGAAAACTGCGTTTTATATGTATATTCCAGACCAGTTTTCTTTCAAAAATCATTTGACGACCTCCCTAGTATAAATACTCGGGCTTAATACATTGTAAAGGGTTAGCATTTTGATACTCCGAGCTTAGCAGTTAGAATTATCTCTCTTATCCTTGTATTCTTATACTTACCTACCGTCCGGGTAGTCCAGTGTAATCACAGCATTACTGAATACAAGTTAGCTCCTGAGTTGAGTAATATTTCACTGTTTTATATTTTTATACACTTTCCAAACCAACCTAACGTCCTCAAATATCCAAAGCTTGTGTTGGGTTTTTCGGATCTTCGGGATTAAACCTCAACAATATATATTCAATTACAGTATTATACATATAGTCATATATATGAGATTTTCACATATATTTCTAAAACACTACTTCATCCTCAATCTATGACCAAATATTATACTACTCCCTCCGTCCCATTAGGAGGTTCCAATTACGATTTACGATGTTTGATTGACAATAAAGCAACTTAATCCCTGTTCACACTCTGATTATTTTTAGTAAATAAAATTTACATATACAGAAACTACATTAAAACCGATACAAAGCCTGATAAAAAAAATTGAAAAAATTTGATTTATCAAGCAAAAGATTAATAATGATTTAAGTTGACCATGTAAATAGTGGACGAGAATCTTTGAATGGGACAGAGGGAGTAGTATTTTTTAAATCTCCCCCCACCCATCTTTTGGACTACACAAGAGTTATGCAAATCGAGTTAAGCAAAGTTCCATAAGAAAACAACATTCTGATAAAGAGTAACGGGTAGTAAATTCAAATAATACAAAAAGAATACTGCATGTGTTAATCACATGAAATGAAACAGAATGAGTAATTAATCATCCCGGACATGCATACTTACCCCATAATGATCATTGCAATCTATGACCAATGTCACCAGATCAGGAGAAGATTCAAGCAGACTTACAATGGCAGAAACATTTTCCTCATCATCACTAAAAGTATTTATTTTCAAACTCGTTCGTGTAGATTTGGGAACCTGCCAACCATCATCCAGCACCAATGCTGCTATAGCCTAATATAAGCGTCACAGAAATATATACACGGAATATACAATGTAAGATCTGCTTGCAAATATACACATTTATTCCACACATTCAAAATCTCATTGATAACACAATTTGCTCTTACCACTTGAAAAAGTAAACTCGCATATAGTATTCATCATGGGAAATTCCTAATAGATTCTGTGGCGGATGAGCTTTCTACAGCCATATATACAAGGTAACCTACCTTCATATACTCCATATATCCCAAAAATAATGTCGCATTTTCATTTTTGTGACATCTCATTTTTTCCATTTCCTAAAATGATGCAAGTATGTAGACAAAAGTGAAAGTGTTTTTTCTTAAACTCATAAGTAATACTCCCTCCGTCCCAATTTGATGATCCCGTATTTTCTTTCTGGACCGTCCCAAATTGATAGTCCCATTTCCCTTTTTGGAAAGAAATATGTGGTCCACATCATTTCACCTTTTTCTACTCAAATCTCAACCACAACTTTTACCTTTTCAACCACTTTCTTAATCTTTGAGCCCAAAAGAAATGGGATCATCAAATTGGGACGGAGGGAGTAAGTAATAACAATACCATCATCAGTGAACCAAAATAAAGTTTTTATTACATTTGTACCAAAATGACATGATAAAATGTAGGGCAAATGTGGTACAAATTATTCCGTGGACAAATTTGTCTTGAACACAATGAACAACCAACTCTTGTATGACAGAGTTGAAAATCATTTGACAAATTAAATCCAATAACCCCATCCTTATTGAAAACGTTGTATATACAAAAACTAGTATTGGGGTCAAGCTAAACCATCAATTAAGATAATTTTGGGAATTTTAACTAAAAGGTCATGGATTTCAGAATGCATACCCTTAGGGGCTCACGCCCCAGCTCAAGCTCCTTGACATGTTGAGTGTTTTCAATAATTTCTTTCGTGTTACTGAGGACATCCTCATACATTGGATCCCAAGTGTATCCAGCGAAGCTAAAATGAGCACTAACAAGCGATGAGAGGTTAGTGAGCTTCAACTTTCTTTCTATAGGATACAACGAAAGAACCAAAGATTTTAGATAGGGTGCATAGATCTCAAGGAAATTTTCACTTTCGTCATCATCCGAGTCATGCACTCGAAGCTTACAAAGATTTGGAGAGTTTATCTCCAAACAAGTAAATCCCCAACAATCACACAGACTCAAGCTATTTAAAACAGGACAACATGATAGTACTTTTTCAACCACACTCTGAGGCAAATCCACATTTGAAATCTCTAATGAAGTCAAAGACTGCCATTCGATTTTTCTTTCAGGATTCAAAATGCATCCACTCAACGACAATGATGTCAAGGAAGGGTATGAATACATCATGTCACAAAGAGTATAGAAATCATTCGTGGCGCTTAGGTCAAAATAAACTTCTTTCACCTTGTTTTTTGAAGCAAACTCAAGCCAGTTATCAACATCGGATGAAAAACATTCCTGGTACGGGAATCTAACTGTAAACTTCTCCAGATACTTACTCTTACGAGTAGCAAGGGTCTTATGAACCCAAGCCACAAAGTCACTTATTTTCTTAGTTTCCTCACCACTGTTCTCCCAGAAATAGAACTCAAGCTTGGGCAACTCTGCCCAGAGATATCTCCATCTTTTACCCAAAACACTCGTAATAGCAGCTTTCTCCAAACCCAGAAAAGAAAGGATGTGAATAACTAAGCAATCTGGCAATGCACTGAGCCTATCAATTGAACACTTAATCTGTTCATTGGAAGCATCATTATGCTCTGAAAGAATTAGTACATTTTTAGCTCCCAAATCTCCTACTCCGCCAAAATCCATTTCTCCCGATGGTTGTGTTTTGTTGGGTAAGTTTTTGTCACTCACATGAAGTAGAAGAGCAACAAAATACAGGCTGATTCCCAGATAAAAGCTTGACTAACCGCTGACCGGAGTGATGCCGGGCAAAGCCGTTTTCCTAGGCTTGCTTTGCCTTTCCCAAACGCCACCTCCAGACAGATCGGCTCCTGGACCTGATAAGCCGAAAATTCTCAGTTCTCATGTGTATTAGGATAGGAAGTTAATTGGGTTTGGCCGTTAAGAGTGAGTGAATATGGGCATATGGCTAGTTTTGATTTATTTCTAAGAATGCACTTAAACTTGTTTATTTCGGATTATCAGGTTTTCAGTCACTTTTTTCATCAAATAAATAATTTTTTATTTCTCACGCTGAATTGTCGAATATTAAGAAAAAGTAAGGTTGGAATTATTTTTCTAGTTGTATTGGTTGAAGTTACTATAGACGACTATTTTAGAGTATGTTTGATAACATGAAATCGGTTGATTCGGCTGATTTTGTTGAAATTTATGAAGTTCAGACTGAAGTGGCTGCATTGGCTGATTCTGCTAATTTAAGAAATAATTATTTTAAATATATTTTATTAATAAAATAAAGAAAAATTATATGTAAAAACAGCTAAAATAGTCATCTACTGTAAATTCAGCCAATACAGTCAGAAAAGTAACTTCAGCCTTACTTTTTCTTATTATTACACAATTTAGCGCGCGAAAACAATAGTTACGTCTAGTGAAAAAGCTGTCTGATAAGTCTGATAAGCCGAAAAACAGTGTTACCAATATAATTTAGTTCACTGATATAATTTAGTTCTCTAATACGTAGTATGAATTTTTATTGAATTTCTTTAGTTCGCTTCGGTTTTGTTCGGTTTGTAACGGTTTTAGTTCGGTTTAATATAGTACGATTTAGAAGAAATGCTGTCTGATAAGCCTGACAAGTCGAAAAATAGTGTTACCAATATAATTTAGTTCACTAATATAATTTAGGAAAAAGGGTCAAATACACCCACATACTATATTCAATAGATCACTTGAACCCTTGTACTAAAAAAAGCATCAACTAAGTACACTTACTATCAATAAAACATCAATTAGACCAAATTACCGGATTGCAACTCCTCATAGCCGGTCATTAGATTGGGCGATTTACACATGCTTTTCGTTCCTGTCTTATACGGAGTAGAATACTTTTACCCCATAGTCCGTACATGCATGGTTCCCCACTTCCCCGGCTAGCTTTCTATCATTTTGTTTTTTTTCTTTTCTTTAATTCTTTTTTGTCTTCCGAATTCCGATTGCATGGAATACAAAACTCTCTTCCACTTTTACTTCACTTCCCTTTTTTTAAAAAAAATCTAAGAAACATCTAAAATTCTTTTTGTATTTTTATGACACTTCATTTTTTAATTTTTAATTTTTTTATGACGTTTCATTAATACATATTTCCTCCATATTCTTTTGTTTGCTACACTTTCTGTTACGCAAATTACTATTTTTGTTTGCTACACTTTCCTTTTTTGACAAATTTTTATTTTAAAAATTAATTAAATTATTCTTACTTTTTCTATCTTTCATATTATCTTTCATATTTTTCCCCATCTATCATGTTTATTCTAAACTATTCATTACCTTTTTTATTTTTCCTTCAAATATCGTGTCCAACTCCATTGTAAAACCCAATTGAATAAGAAGGAAGTACATATATGTTTATATAAACATCTTTAGAATCTTAAATTCTAGATTTTGTTTACTTATATTAATCGTAAACATTTTTTTCCTATGTCATACACATATGCTAGAAGGTAGGGACTTATGCCTGCCAAATATAGCCTAACAGTGTTAGTCCAATTTTAACAAGAAGACCACATTTACGTAAAGTTAAACAATCAGGGATGGACAATAATTAAGGAACTTAGTGCTACTTCTCTTTTTAAAAAATATTTCAGGTCAAATTGTCATCCAAATAAATTGCTTCTTAAGAATATTTTTTCTAGGACTGGGATTTTTTTTTCCCGAATCCCGATCCCGACTAGTCGGGAAGTTTTTCCTATCCCGACTAAGTCGGGACGAGTAGACCGGGATTTTTTTTAAGTCGGGATCGGGAAAATCCTGACATCTCGACACTATATATGTGCATGTGTGTGTGTATAGAAATAGAAATATATATACATGTATATAATTATATATGAATATATAAAAATGAATGTACAATAAAAATGAATATGTATCTAAATATTTGCATATCTTTTTTACTTACTTATTCCGTATATAGATTAATCTTTTATGTTACAATATCAAATTCTAAAACAATTAGGCATTTGTCCCAAACTAAATATTCTGGATCCTAAGTAAGTAGAGATTATTCTTGACCCCAAAAAAGAGTAATTGTTAGAACTATTTTATTGTGAATCAAGTTTGTCTGTTATGTTTTGTTTATTTATTAGTATAGCTTACCATTTATGGTATTGAATAAAGTGTAAGAAATAGGTTGTAAAGGAATAAAGCCCAAAAAGGATCTAGGCCCAAACTCCTACACACCCTAATTAGGTAACTTGTACAGCGCCTATAAATATGTGCGTTCTGTACAGGTACCAATGTCGATCATTCTATTCTATAGCCTTATGCTGTAAAAATACTTCTCGATACAATAGAAAGAAGAATTTCTCTGTTCTCGATATTGCCTTATCATTATCAGATCTTCTTCTCTGTTTATTGATGAATACCATCTAGCTGTGAGTTAGTCTACAGAAATCTGGGACCAACAGTAGCAAACAAAAGAATGAGGATGGATTATATATTAATGAAAAGTCATAAAATTGAAATTGAAAAATAATTTTAGATCTCCCTCTAACTTTCTAAGTTTTTTAGATTTAAATCAGAGAAGTAAAGTAAAAAGAGAGAGCAATTCGTGTTCAATTGTTTTCTACTAAGGAAAAATAAAAAGGTAATGAAGAGTATAGAAGAAGCAGGGTAAATGGTGGAAAAATATGAAAGATAATATGGAAGATAGAAGAGGTAAGAATAATTTAATAAGTTTTATAAATAAAAATTTATCAAAAAGGGAAAGTGTAGCGAACAAAAAAAGTAATTTTCGTAAAAGAAAATGTAGCAAACAAAAGAATATGGAGGAAACATGTATTAATGAAACATCATTAAAAAATGAAATGTCATAAAAATACAAAAACCATTTTAAATGTCCTAAGATTTCTTAGATTAAAAAAAGAGAAGTGAAGTAAAATGGGAAGAGAAATTTGTACTCCATTTCCATACATTCGGAAGACAAAAAAAATAAAGAAAAGGAAAAGGAAGGAACAAAAATGAAGAAAGAGAAAGAGCTAGCCTTGGAACTCTGTACATACAGTCATACAGACTACGGCGTATGAAGTATTGTACTCCGTATAAGATGGAAAAAAACGAAAAGGTAAAAGCATGTGTCAAATCATCCGATCCAATGACCGGCTATGGAGTAGCAATCCGGTAACTTGATCAAATTGATGTTTTTTTAATAGTAAGTGTATTTAGTTGATCCTTTTTTTAGTATAAGGGTTCAAGTGATGTTTTGAATATAGTATATGGGTGTATTTGACCCTTTTTCCTATAATTTAGTTCACTAATACGTAGTATGAATTTTTATTGAATTTCTTTAGTTCGGTTTGGGTTTGTACTATTTGTATCGGTTTTAATTCGGTTTAATATAGTACGATTTAGAAGAAATGTTCCAAAACTTAAATCGAATTGCATATGATCCGGTTTTGGTTCGATTTTAATTGGTTTGGTACGATTCGGTTAAACTAAACCAATATGCTCACCCTAATGCTTATAGTGTGAACCAACCATTTATAAAAGATTAAAGTCTAAAAAATGGAGCTTCGTATGCTAACTTTTCCTGTTTGACTTGGAGTTAAGTTCGTGTACAGATATGCCTTACCAATTATTCATGAATTAGTTTTCCCTGGTTGTTTACCCATGTTACTAAATAATTTTTGGATATGACAAATTATGATATGTAGTGCTTTTTAAGACTATGCACATGAAGTTCAGAAGTTCGTTTGAACAGATACTATAAAGAGACTACAAAGTCTAGGGAAAAAAATTCAGAAGTTCGTTTTCACCCAATCACCCCATTAAAGTATCCCTTTGTACTGATCAATTGTTGGAGTTTTAACAATGATTAAATATTGCACAATACTTTTGTTGCTTGGTATCCACGATGGGGTTCCTTGTGTGTAAGGAGGATATATACTGATATTCAAAGATGACCAAAATAAGTTTGTAATTTGTAAATTATGAGGAGTTTGTATATGTTATATACATATATTAAACACTTAAACTTATCACAAGACAAGTTCATATAGGTGTCTCCTTTGATATAATAATCAATAAATATCAAGGTCAATCACTTGAAGGCGTTGATCTATACATGTCTTGATCTTTTTTTAGTCATTGATAACTATATGTGAGTATGTGATTAAGAGTTGAGAGCAAATATGGACTCAAGAACTTAAATTCATACATAATGAGGACGGAAAGTCATTATACAATATTAAGAATGTTGAATTTAAAGATGTTTTTCAAATGTCTAACAAATAAGTTTAATGTTTTATTATATTTTATCAGCAATATTTATTAATTAGTAGCAAATTCTAATGGCGATGTCAATTAGACTCACATAATATTCTTTTACTTTGGTATTTATTGTACTTAAATTTTATAATAGTCGCTTACTATAATCACTTTTTGGGACTTGTGTTATTTTTCATCAGTTGATGTTTAAAGTTCTTAGTAGGGACATTTTAAATGGTATCTTCTGCTTGAATTTCCTTTTTACGTAAGTTATTAAGTTTGAATAAATGTATCAGTATCAATGTATCATTATAATCAATGAAAATAGTATTGCACATTTACTATAATTAAGATTCCTGCGGTTATACCTCATTTTTAAATCATTTTCAATGGCTTAAAGCTCCATATAACTTAATTCACATTGTATGTCGAGGGTTGTTGGTTTTCTCTACAAACTTATAAACACGAATGAAGGTTAGAGCCCTTTTGGGAATATAAAATTTGTTGGTGTAATTCTTAAGCATAATGTGTTTGTACTCTATGTTTCATCCATTGTACTCATTGTTTTGATGTCTATGTAGACCGTCATCTCCGTTAAATCGTTAAACTAAAGGCCTAACGTTTTGTTGCCTATCTGATCTACGTTAGTACGTTACATTTAAAGCTTCGAGACCCCTCAATCAGTCCCCTTCT